ATAGAGGGGGGCACCTTGTGCTTCCAGGTCAGCAGATCCGGAAACTGATCAAGGATGGGCTGATCATCCGCAAGCCTGTGACTGTCCATTCCCGGGCTCGATGCCGAAAGAATACCTTGGCTCGACGGAAGGGCAGACACATGGGCATCGGTGAGCAGCATTTTCTCTGTAATTGGGAGTGTAGGGCTGGGGTGTGGCTGCAGGAAGGGGTCACAACGACTGAGTTCATATGCTGTTTGGGGTTCTGCTGGTTCCATGAGAACCCTAGAATCCCTTTGTAGTTTGGGTCATTGGAGGACATGGTGCGCTCAGCCACTTCCCTCACTCGGTACCCACTCTGCTGGGAGGGAGTGGGGAATGATTGCCGAGTTTGTGCTTCCTGGAAAATTGAGTGCAGGAAGCCAGGGTGGTGGTTGATAAACCTGTGTCCTAAGCTACTCATAAGGCTGAGGCAGGAGCATTGCAAGTTCAAGACCAGCCTGGGAATCAAGATGAGAAAAAAGACTGGAGTGTGGCTCATTGGTAGACCGCTTGCCTGGAATGCATTAGGCCCTAGGCTCCATCTCCAGTACCACACACAAAAAGGTTGAGTAAATGCAAGAAATTAAACTTTGGAGTCATTATAAAATGGAAGTCATTACTTAAAATGAAACTGTAGGTAGCCAGGTGTGGTGTTCATGGTGGTGCACACCTGTGATTCCAGCAGTTGGGAGGCTGAGGCAGAAGGATTGCCTCAAGTTCAAGGCCAGCTTGGACTGTATAGTAAGACCCTGTCTTTAAAATTTAAAAAAGGGGGGGGCTGGGGATTTAGCTCAGTGGTTCCGGTGCCTGCCTCAAAAGCGCAAGGTCCCGAGTTCAATCCCTGCTACCAAAAAAAAAAATTAGGTACTAAAAGTCTTCCAAAACTGTTAGGGCCAGGGATTTAGCTCAGTGGTTTCGCTGCCTGCTGTGCAAGCACAAGGACCCAAGTTCGATCCCCAGTACCAAAAAAAAAAAATGAGGGCCAGGGATTTAGCTCAGTGGTTTCGCTGCCTGCTGCGCAAGCGCACGGAACCAAGTTTGATCCGTGGTACCAAAAAAAAAAAACAAACAAGGGCTAGGGATTTATTTAGCTCAGTGGTGCCGCCACCTGCCTCGAAAGCACAATGTCCCAAGTTTGATCCCAGGTACCAAAAAACATGAAATGGGGGGATTAAGTAAAGACCCATTTGCTGGCTGTTAAGCCCAGGCCGAGGCTGATTCCTAGTTCTGCATTCTCACAGGTAAGCGGAAGGGCACAGCCAACGCCCGGATGCCAGAGAAGGTGACCTGGATGCGGAGAATGCGGATCCTGCGCAGGCTGCTGAGGAGATACCGGGAGTCTAAGAAGATCGACCGCCACATGTGAGCCACCATTCTGTGTGGCGCTGAGCAGCGAGGGTGGGGGTAGAGTTACTGCTTCAGCTTTATCCTGTCTGGAAAGTAGGGAGAAGGGGTGGGCTTGGCTGCTGAGCACAGCCCCCGGTGCACACACCCACAGGTACCACAGCCTGTACCTGAAGGTGAAGGGGAACGTGTTCAAGAACAAGCGGATCCTCATGGAGCACATCCACAAGCTGAAGGCGGACAAGGCCCGCAAGAAGCTCCTGGCGTGAGTCTCGGCCTGGCTGCAGGCGTCCTCCCGAGAGCACAGGCCCCACCCCCACCCCTGTTGGGGCCCTGTCAAAGCAGGAGCCCTCGGGGCCTTCCCCAGCCCTTGCTTAGGCTCAGGGTTTAGGAGCCTCTGTCTCCCGTGCCAACGCCCCTCTGCTCTTCCCAGTGACCAGGCCGAGGCCCGAAGGTCAAAGACGAAGGAAGCTCGCAAGCGCCGCGAGGAGAGGCTCCAGGCCAAGAAGGAAGAGATCATCAAGACCCTGTCCAAGGAGGAGGAGACCAAGAAGTAGAGCCCTGTGTGCATGGCGGCGGGTGGTCCTGAATAAACAGCTCTGGTCCATTCCTCCTGCTCTGCTTACTTGTCCAGCCGTGCACCCCTCCTTCTGGTCTTGTTTTGGTGGTGGGCGCCGAGTTCAGAGGGAGGCCAGGGGTGGCCTGTGTCCACACCTCCGAAATGCCGCCCTTTAAGCCTGCCCTTTGCAGCTGCTCTCGCAGCGCTCGGTAAGTGGTCTCAGTGTTGCTTAGGACCAGCAGTCAGTTGTGACCTAAGTCGGGGGTCATATTTTTTATTTATGTTGCCCAGGTTAGGCTTTATTTTTGTTTTTGGTGCGGGGCATTGAACCCTGCACCTGCACACTGCGTTACACCCAGTCCTTCTATATTTTGAGACAGTCTTGTTAAATTCCCCAAGCTGGATTCAATCTTGAGATCCTCCTGCTTCTGTCTCCCAGAGTGCTGGGATTACAGGCATGCACCAGCGTACCTTTTTTAATTTTTGTGTGCTTGTTTTTTTCTGAGATGGGGTCCCGCTGTATATAGTTCAGGGTGGCCTTGAATTCACTATGTAGCTCGGGTTGATCTCAAATTTCTGTCATTCCTCCTGCCTCAGCCTCCAGAGTGTTGGTATTATAGGCATGCACTGCCAGGTCCGCCTTAGAACTTGCCTCTGAGTTGCATAAAAATGTAAATGGAAATAAAGACAGCAAGGTTTTGGGCAGGATCTCATTGCACCCCAGGCTTAGAGCCATGGAGGTGCTTCCTTTGTGTCTGTGGTTAACAACCCAGAAGTGGGTTCCATTTTCCCCACTTAACTGGTGGTAATTACTGACTGCTAATGTTTCAATGAAGATTCTGGGCCAAACAACATTAGACTTTGGCATTGATTTCCATTGATTTTCTTGTATCTACAGACTGAAGTCTGTCCCTTCAGCTCCATTTTGTAGTCGGGGTGGAAATGACAAGGATCTCTCAGAGCTGGAGCCAGTCTTCCCCTTTGCAGGCCAGGGCCAAGGGTGACCTGTAAAAAGGGGGAGCCATTTCACTCCGGGCCAGGAGGTGGCGCTGTCCCCTGCAGGGCGCAGCTCTGCCTTAGGCTGCCTCAAGGGGCTTCGGGTTGGGTGGTTGGCTCCTCTGGAAGCTTTCTAGGGTTTTTTTGGTGTTGTTTTTTTTTTTGCTACCAGGGATCGAACTGCGGTCCTTGTGCTTCCAAGGCAGGTGGCAGAACCACTAAGCTAAATCCCCAGCCCAATCTGGGAGCTTTCTGGAAGGTTCGGGGGGAGGGACTGGTCCGGCCAAGGGGCCAAGGAGCCTGCTTCCCAAAGTCCTGGAGCATTGTCACTGTCCTGTTCGAGCTAGCCATTGCTCTACTGCTGAGCACACTCCAGGCCGGCCACTTCTTTCTGAAAGCCTGGAGTTTCCGCCGTGCACCTCTGCTCTGTCCCGGGGAGCCAGAGCAGAATCTCCCTGGAGTCACCCTGTTCTCTTTTGGTGCCGTAGGGAAATCAGTACACCAGACGTGGTAGTACATACCTATAATCCCAAAACCGTGAAAAAGAAAAAAACTTTAAAAAATCCAGGCCAGCTGTGGTGGCACACACCTGTAATCCCAGCACACGGGAGGCTGAGGCAGGAGGATCACAAGTTCAAGGCTAGTTTAGACTCCAAAGAATTGAGCCCCGGGCTTTCACACTGTGCTACATGCCTAGCACATTTTGTGTATGTTCCTGGGCTGGCTCAGTCCCCAGTACCGGTTGGGCTGGAGTGGCGCTCAGGTAAACCTGTGCTTAGCACCTGGCTTTTTAGACAGGCTCTCTCTGTAGTTCAGGCTGGCCTCGAACTCATGGCAGATGGTATCTACCCCTCTGCCCTCAGGCCTCCCCACATCTGGCTCCCCAGGTGACCTCTCCCCCTGCAGCGCACACCGGGTAGAGGGTTAGAGGGGCTGCTGCAGCGGGGGCACAGCTTGGGGGACGCCCCGGCTCCGTGGTGCTGCTGGTCCAGGCAGGGCCTGCCGTGGGAGACACCAGATATCCCCCCGCCCCAGGGCTGTGAGCCGCCAGCTGGTGGCTCGGCCCGGCCGACGCCCACATGGAGGGGTGCAGAACGCCTGGCTGCTGGGAGTTCCCACTCCCCCTCAGGGCTCTGGACAGCAGGGCCGAAGAGCTGAGCTGGGGGAAAGGGTTGGGTCGTGTTTTCTTTCTTCAGTAGTGGGGATCAAACCCAGATCCTGCATTGAGCTGCCTGCCCAGCTTTGGTTGGTTGTTTTTTTGAGACATTCTGTCTTGCTAAATTGACCGGTCTGGGTTCAAATTTGAGATCCTCCTGCCTCAGCTTCCCAGAATGCTGAGATTACAAGTGTACACCCCTGCCTGACTAGGGAAAGCATTATTTCCGGGACTGCCTTAATCACTGATTTGCTGGGAGACTGCACAAGTCTCAGCCTGCTCTGGGCCTCAGTTTCCCCATGTATGAACAGCAGAAGTGGGCTGCAGAGTTTGTACGGACTTGGATAAGCCCCCTACCATGTCTGTGCCTTAGGGTCCTCACCCGGTCAGAAGAGACCAACCCGCTGTCCCCGGGGGTCTCGGAGGATTAAACAGCCAAAGGTTCTGGCCTCTGCCTCAGGGGGCGGAGCTGGGGCCACAGGGGGTAGGAGACGCTCCTATAAATAGCCCTGGCCGGCTGGAGGCGGCGCTTCGTGTAGGCGCTGGTGGGCTGCGGGTCCCTCAGCTCCGGGAGGAGCGGGACTGAGTCATCAGCCCGGAGTCTGTGACTGTCCCCGAAGACAGTAGCTTGGACTCAGGAGCGAGGCTGATCTCGGATGGGTACTGAGCCCTCCAAGCTGAAGCAGGCAGGTCTCGGCGGGCACCTGGGGGGGGCGGTGATCGCCCCCCCCCCGTGCCACCGGAGCGAGGCTGCAGCCCTCCAGTGTCCCCAGAGCTCCCTCTCCCCTTCTCTCCGGCCCTCTCTGCGTCTTTCTCTGTGCCCTTTTCATCCTGCCGTGCGGGTGCCAGCCCCAGCCCTGCCTCCCAGGTCGCAGCTGCCCGGGCCCCCTCCTGCCGATCGAAGCCAGGCTCCCCAGGCAGACAGCTGGGACAAGACGCGTTTAATTAGGGTCCGGGGCTCCACAGTGCCCGGCAGACCTGCCATGCAGCCTGGTGTACAGTGGGCATTGGCTGCCCTGGGGGTGTCGCTGGGGGCCTCCTGGCAGCAAACAGGGCAGTGTGGCTTGAGCCCCCTCTGCGCGGGGGGGGGGTGTCCGTGGGGGAGGAGACCTGTGTGCCTCTCACCTCAGAGGGTTTGACTGTGCCTGGAAAGGGGTGGCATTGGCTGGCACGCCCAAGGGCACAAGAGGGGGCTCTGAGCTTGGGGGAGGAAGCTGGCACCAGAAAACAGCAGCCTTGGGCCGGGGATTTAGCTCAGTGGTTTCGCCGCCTGCTGCACAAGCGCAAGGACCCGAGTTCGATCCCCAAAAAAACCCAAAACAAACAAACAAACAGAAAACAGCAGCCTGGAAGGGAGAGGTCCTGTGGTATGTGCCCCCAGGGCCTGCTCCCCTCTGTTCCTCCCCGGGCTGTGTCCAGGACAGGGGGCAGACTGGGCAGAGAGGGACTCCCTGGATATCACCCCGGGGGCCTGCAGAGCTAGGGAGAGGGACAAGGGACACGATCCTGGCTGTTGTCAGGGTGACCCCACAGGGACATGGGGTGGTTCCGACCAAGCATGGGCCAGGGTCTGGTTCTCAGTGGGCTTCTGGGCCCAGGCTGCTCTTTGGTGACTGGGCCACCTTGAAAGGACAGTCTCCATTTGTCACATCTGCTGAGACCTCAGCCCTCCCCTACTCTAGCCCAGGTTTCAAGTAATGGGAGAGATTCCTGCAGAACTTTCCTGAGAAGTGAGGGAGTGACAGAGACAAGGAGACCAAGAGCCAGACTCGAGGCTCTGGCATGGTGCTGGGTCCCCTCCCAGCTGGGGTGAAGGGCTGAGGGGTGCAGGAAGCCCCCCAGCGCTCTGCTTGCAAAGGGGCAGGTGTACACAGACCCAAGCAAAGGCTCCAAAGGCGAGGGATCAGGCATGCAGAGGCCATGTGGGCAGGTGAGGAGTCAGGATCCCAGGGGCCCCCCAGGGGGAGACTCAGAGCAGTGGCCAGATTCGGGGTACCTGGGCACCGTGGGGAACCTACTTGCAGCTCCCCACTTCCAGTCCCAGGGAATCAACCCAGTAGGGCACCCCACCCAAGAAATAAAACCTTCCCAGGGCTGAGAGGCCCGGGAGACAGACAGGAGGCAGGGTGCCAGGGTGCCCTGCCCCTCCCAGCCAGATGCAGAGGCTCTCTCCATTCTCCGGGCACCGTCAGATCTCGCTCAGGGCATCAGCTGGCACCAGGCCCCGCTTCTTGCCGCTGCTGACTCGGACAAAGCCATCACCATCTCTGGCTCTCCCCACTCCGACACAGATCTGAACGAGACAGGCACCAACGCTGAGCCCTGAGCCTGAGGCCCGCTGACACCAGGACCGGCAGGGGTAACCGGAGCAAGCCCAGCTCGAAGCAACATCAGGGCTGACCTGAGAGGTCCCCCTGGCACCCTGCCCCACTCCCATCTCCTGTTTTTTTGGGTTTTTGAGACAGTCTCATTGTGTAGCCCTGGCTGGCCTCCTGGTGATCTTCCTGCCTCAGCCTCCAGAGAGAATGCTGGGATTACAGCCATGTGCCACCTGTCCTGGCTCCCATTTCTACTCTGAAGAAGTAATAAAGGGAAAAGGAGGCCTGGGGATTTAGCTCAGTGGCACTGTGCCTGTTTGGCAAGCACAAGGTCGTGAGTTCGATCCCCAGTATCAAAAACAACAAACAAACCAAAAATAAAGGGGAAAGGACTCGCCCAGGAAACACAGCAAGCCAGGGCCAGAGTCAGCGTTCAAACCTGAGCCTCGAGGCATCTGATCCAGTGCTCCGTGCTGTCCCAGCTGCCTCCGGTGTCGTCCAGCCCCACCTCTGTCCCCACCAACCCGAGTCCCTCATAAGGAATGACAGGAGGCCTGGCCACAGTCTTGCAGGCCCAGCCGGCCCGAGCTCACCTGGTTCTCCTTGAGGCTCAGGTAACCCTGCTCCTTGTTCCCAGAGAAGGGCTGGCAGCAGCGCCACACGTTCTCACTAGGCCTCACCCGCTGCACAAAGTTGGCGGGGAAGAAGCCCACACGGTCGCCAATCTTGCCCTGGGGAAGAGGCTGGTAGTGAGCCCCAGCATCACTTCCTGGCCTGCTGCCTCCTGGGACCTGACTCCCACTCAGCCCAGGCTGTCAGCCCCAGGTCCTGGGCTTGGGGCAGCTGAACAGCTTTGGGGCTGGGGGCAGGGCCTGGAGCTCTTTGGGGCCTGGAGAGAAGGTCGGGGAGGCAGCTACCAGGGTCCCGCGGTGCCCCCTGCCACCCCCGAGTCACCTTCCACCAGTCCTCATTGGAGTCATCCACCAGCAGGATCCTGTCACCCGGCCTGTGGAGGGACAGCCAGGCAGCATGGGGCACCTCGTACCCTCACGGCCCTCTGGGTATCACACTCATACTCTTAGACTTCAGGCAGCTCCCATCCTGAGGGTCCCTTCACCCTGGGTGCCCAGGTTAGTGGGGCACAGAGCCTGGAGGGCGGCAGCTGCCCAGTGAGGCCGAACCACAGAGAGGACTTACTGCAGGGCCAGGTCATTGCTCTCCTGGGGCAGGAACTTGTAGAGTGCGACGTAGGAGTACATAGGCCCCACCTCCTTCCGCAGGGGCACCCTGGGGGGCTGGGGAAGCATGGGTCAGCATGGGTGCAGGACACACACCCTGGTGGTGCTTAGAGCGCACCTGCCTGGGGGCCTCAAGGCGCCAGACCCTCTCTCGGGGGAGCAGGAGCTGGTGGTGCGGGGAGGGGGTCAGGGCAGGAAAGGTCCCCCGGTTTCCTGTGCCTCTCTGTCCTGACACTCAGGATGGGTCTGGGAGCAGCAATGAGGACAGACGACACCCTGCCGGCCCGCTAGGTCTCACACCTGCTGTCCAGGACTCCGCTCTTCTGCTCTTGACTCTTCGCTCTCCGCCAGGGCTGTGAACACTGGGGCCACAGGGTGGGGGCCAGGGTGAGCAGGTGCTCGCCCTGGAGCACCCTGTTCTGCCCCACTCCTCGATGCTCACCGCTGTCGCTGGGCCCCTCCTCGGAGCTTCGGATGCTGCCCTCCCCATCCTCCGTCAGCTCCTCCCGCTCGCTCTGGGGACAGGCAGGGAGGGAGGGCTCAGCCCCAGCCACTGTGGTGCCCACAGGTCCCTCCCCTAGGTGCCCACCTACCAGGCTCCTCGTGGGGGACTCGGACGTGCTGCTGAAGCTGGAGCGATTCATCAGCGCCAGGGACGTGCCGTAGCGCAGGGTCTCGTACACCGGGTCCACCTTCCCACCGAGCCCTGCTGGGCACCCTCTCTCAAGGCTGGGATCTCAGCCCAGCTGCGGGCAGGGTCCAGCTGCCCAAGGCTGGTCGGCTCCTGGCATCCCCTCCCCTGCTACCCCAGGGCTTCTCATCCCTGTAGCTGCTCCACATCCTCCCGTGGTGCCCAGGAAGAGACCTGGACTCCTAGCTGTCCTGCTGCCCACAGACACTGCGGCCTGTCTCCAACCTCCCAGCTTCCAGAGAATCCACCCTCATCTCTCTGCCTCCACAGCTGCCGCCTTGATCCAAGCCACCAAACTCTGGGCAACCTCGAGCCCCACCTGCGGGCTCCCCAAGCCCTCGATCTGGCCCCTCCAATCCATGCAGCAGACACAATGCTCTCATCAAAACATAATATTTCTCGTGCTCGCTTTGGCAGCACATATACAAAACATAATATTTCTCTTAAAAGAAGACACTCAGCCAGGCAGGCCTGGGGTCTATAATCTCAGCACTCGGGGAGGCTGAGGCAGGAGAATCACAAATTTGAGCTCTGCCTGGGCAATTTAGTGAGACCCTGTCTAAAAATAAAAAATACAGCCAGGCATGGTTCCACAACCCTGTAATCGAAGCAATTGGAAGGCTGAGGCAGGCGGATCACCACGAGTTCAAGACCAGCCTGAACTCCACAGTGAGACCCTGTCTCAAAAGTAAATGAATAAAGGGCCAGGGATTTAGCTTTAGTGGTTCCTGTGCCTGCCTCGCAAGCGCAAGGTCCCCCCCCACCCCGCCGAGGTTGATCCCCGGTACCAAAAGAATAAATAAAATAAATAAATGAAAGTTGAAACTGCAAAGGCTCTGGGTTCAATCTCCAGTCCCGCAGTCAGTCAGTTGGTAAATGTGTCTGGGCCCCGCGGCGGGATGCTCACCGGTGGGTGGGGACTCTCTGCTCGCGGCACAGGCTGGTGGCGGCTCGTGCACCAGGAGCGGGGAGCTGAAGTTGCGGCGGAAGGAGGCAGACTGCGCCGGAGGAGGCAGAGGCGGAAGTCAGGGCAGGAAGCCCCCGGGACCTAGCTGGGGGCCGCGCCCGCCCCGCTCACCGTCTTGCCGGGGCACTGCTGGCGGGAGACCCCCTCGGAGCACCAGAGGTGGACGCTGGCCTTGCAGCTCTTACAGCGCAAGCCCTGCTTGGAGTTTCCTGGAAGATTGGGGGCCTTGGGGGCCCAGCCATGGGAGCGGCTGGGCGTGGGAGGGCAGGCGGGGGGGAGTGGGCTGGGCATCCTGCGCCCGCCGTCGGGGGCCGGTGTCACGGAAGCCCAGGCCCCGCGGCCACCCCACCCCCCTTTCGGTCTTGCAGTGCAGAGTGGAGCCCAGGGCCACCCACGGGCGGGCAGCACCCAGGAGGATTCAGGGAGGACCGGGCCAGCACCAGGGCCAGCTCCCCATGGTCCGCCGCCCCCCGCCCCCCGGGCCCAGCGCCTACCCACGATGAGCTGGTGGCACAGCTGGCAGGGGCTGGCGCGCTTGAAGACGTGCTCCTGGAAGCAGTGCGGCCTGGCGGGCTTGAGCGGCGCCAGGGGGCGCGGCGCCGGGCCGGGGGAGGGCGCCGGGGTGGACGCAGGCGGCGGGGAGGGCGGGGGCAGAGGGGAGGGGGGCGTGAGCAGCACCTGGGCGGGGCCCTTGAGCTCCGGGCTGGGGCGCAGGAAGAAGTTCTCCATGCTCTTGCTCCTCAGGATGCTCTTGAGGGACAGCGAGCGCCTGAACCGCTGCAGCTGGGAAGTAGGGCGCGGTGGGTGGGGCTGCCCCGAGGTGCCCTGTGCAGTGTCTCCCAGGGCAGGCCAGGGCCAGGGCCGAGAGGCAGCATTCAAAGCCGGCCGTGGTGGGGCGTGCCCGTAATCCCAGCGCTGGGGAGGCCGAGACAGGAGGATCGCCCCACCCTGGTACCGAGTCTCCCTGTGACCCCGCAGACCTGTCTTTGGCGCCCATACCCGCCCTC